ACATCTTCCATCCGAAAATTAGGCCATCATTTTCATTTGACAGAGGACGTATAAAAGAACAGAACTAAACATGTCTCCAGGAACTGAGCTGAGCAGAACCAAAAGACAATGGTAGAGATGTTTTCTGAGTTCACGTGAGTAGAAAGCTGGAAGCTTTACTAGTCTCTTGGGTGAACCGCCCCACGGAAGCTGAGGGACGGTGCGGGAGGCTCAGTGCCCGTCTTCTGTGCTGTCGTGTGTTTGACATTCTCCAGGACAGTTTTAAGTCCATGGAAAACACTGTCTTTTGTAAAAGTAAAATTGAAATATCAAAAGCCAGAAATGTTTCTGAAAGATTTGGGGCAGGTTTTATTAGATAGAGAGAATAGCGTAAGTCAGGAAGCTGCCTCCTAATCTCTCAGCTGGCAAGGTAGGAAATGTGTACCTAGGTTAAGAAGTCCTGCCCTTCAGCTCCTGTATATTCAGTCATTCCCATTACCCAACACCCAACGTACAGCCAACTTTTTTTCACATTTCTTTGTATATGTTCAACATAAGAGTAGCTGGATAGCATAGGAGAGCTCCTATGCTATAGGAGAGCTCAACATTTATTGCATCTTGATTATATGCCAGACACTGATGATAGAACCAATTGACTTTAAAGAGCTTGCATCCCAGGGAGGGAGACCGACATGCACAGTATGATTACTAACACAATGGAACTCTAATTAAGGTACACAGCCAGCCTGGGGAGAGGGCGCCGTGAATTCTGGCAGCTTTGTAGACAGATCGGGGAAGCATCTGCAAAGGTCTCCAGGCGGGACCTTGAGGATGAAAGAGAGGGTGACCGGGAATACCCTCTCAGGCCAAGCCCGCGTGGTGACGCCGGGCCTGGTGTGCTGATCATGGAGCTGGTCAATGTGGCAGGAACGAAAGTTGAAGAGTCTGGCCAGGAAAGACTTGGTGGATCGGGCTAAGGAATGGGGACTTTATCTTGGGACCCAGCATCAGTGATTCTAAGCGGGCGAGCAGTGTGCTCAGGATTAATCACTCCGGATTCTGATCTTAAATGGTGGCTTGACCTCATTGGTTTTCTCTTTCTGTCCTCAAGCTTACTTGTCAGTTATGATATTTTTAGTGACAAGTAATAGAAAACTCAACTCCAAATGGCTTAAACTCAACATGGATGAACCTTGAAGACATTGTGCAAGGTGAAATGGGCCAGTTATAAAAGGACAAATGCTGTATGATTCCACTTACATGTGGTATCTACAGAGTCAAATTCATGGAGACAGAGTAGAATGGGGGTTGTCGGGGGCTGGGGGAGGGGAAGTAGAGTTGGTGTTTAGTGGGTAGAGTTTCAGCTTTACAAGATGGAAGAGTTCTAGAGCTGGATGATGGTAATGGTTGTACCACGGTGTCAGTGTGTTTAGCCACACTGAGCTGTATAGATATAATCAAAAATATCCCGAAATGGCTTAGACCAAATGGAAAATATTTCATAACATACAAGCTTTGGGACTGGTTAATTCGGGCTTCAGTTTCAAAAAGCAGTCAGGTGGCTTGGCCTTCTCACTGTACATGGACCACACAGCCCCTTCAGCCCCTTGCAAGGTGACTGCCCCAGTCCAAAATGACCCTGCAACATCCAAGGAGAGAGAGACCGTCCCTCCCTGTCTAAATCCATTTTCGGTTGCTTCTAACAGAATACATGAAAAGGAATTTCTTTCTTACAGTTTTGGAGGCTGAGAAGTCCCAAGGGCTGGAGCTAGTGAGGGCCTTTTTGCAGGTGGGAACTTTCTGTAGAATCTTGCAGTGGCACAGGGTATCATGCAGTGGCAGGGCTGCATGTGCCGGCTCGGGACCTCTTCCTCTTCCTGTAAAACCACCCGAACTCATTATGTCATGAATCCAGGAATAGATTCATTCTTCAAGAGAGCAGAGCCCTCACTCTAGCCACCTTTTCAAAAAGTGCCCAACTCTCAGTAATTGTGTTTCAGCATGAGTTTCAGAGGGACAAATACATAACCCATAGCAGTCCAGGTGTCTCTTTAAGAGCAAGAAAAGCTTTCAAAGTCAGAGTCCTGGCCGGGAGCGGTGGCTTTGCCTGTAATCGCAGCACTTTGAGAGGCTGAGGCGGGCCAATCACCTGAGGTTTGGAGTTTGAGAACAACCTGACCAACATGGAGAAACCCCAACTAAAAATACAAAATTAGCTGGGCATGGTGGCACATGCCTGTAGTCCCTGCTACTCAGGAGGCTGAGGCAGGAGAATCACTTGAACCCAGGAGGCAGAGGTTGTAGTGAGCCGAGATCGAGCCATTGCACTCCAGCCTGGGCAACAAGAGCCAAACTCTGTCTCAAAAAAAAAAAAGAGTCCTCAGCATGTTGGCACAGATGTCTAGCAGCCATTCCATGTGCAGCCTGACCAGAGCCCCACTCCTGATTCTCCTGGCAGCTTCTTCCCACAGTCTCCTCACTCCCAGGCCACAGTGGCTCCTGTTTTTCCAGACTCTTCCTTTATTCAGGCTGAGTACCTCGGAGTCGCTTGGCCCCTCCCTCTCTGTCATACCCACACCCGTCGGCAGATTCTTTTGGCTCTGCCTTCCACACATGCCCAGATGCCGGCTACTTTTCACCACTGTGACTCAGCCCAAGCCACCACCATCTCCCACCTAGATTATTGCCATCACTTCCTACCTGGTCTCCTTGTTTCTGCCCTTGGTCACATATCCATTCAGTGAGCAGATATTTACCACGTACCTCACATGTGCCAGTCATTGCTCTGGGTCCTGGCAGCTCTACAGTAAACAAAACTCGTGCCCTCCTGGAGCCTTCATTCTGTTCAACAACAGTCAGATCATGTCCCTCCTCTGACCAGCATCCTCTCGTTCTTCCATCTCAGAATATAAGCCAGATTCCTACGAGCCCTGCGCAATGGTTCCTCCTTGTTCCTTGAGTAAGTCAAGTGCACGCCTATCTCAGGGCTTTCGAATTTCTTTTTCCTGCTCCCTAGAATCCTGTCCCCCTACATAGCCTCAGACCTTCCTCTTTCATTTTTTTCTAGTCTCTTGATTTGGGAATTGACAGAAAGGAATCAGTTGGCCTGAGCAACTGGCAGTGAAGTGGCAATTTACAGAAAGGGAGCTTCCTGGAGGGAGCTTGGGAGGCAGGGCACCAGGCGTTGGGTTTTTAACCTACACCTGCCATGCCAATTTCGACACTTAGGTGGGTCGTGCAGCAGCTGTGGATGAATCTGAGGCTCAGGGAGAGCTGTGAGTGAGACAGATTTAGGGGTCACCTGTGTATACGCAGGTTTATGCTCAGCGTCACAGGAAGCACGTGCACAAAAGAGCTGCATATTGCGGTGATTTCGGTTAGGGATACGAGGAGGAACCAGCAAAGGAGACTGAGGAAGGGCAGCCAGCGAGCTAGAGGAGACTCAGGAGAGGCACTTCTTGGAATCCCAGCGCAGGGATATGGCAGAGAACAAGGGAGTGCCCACAGCAGGTGCTGCGGACAGCTCTCTCCACCCAGCCTCAGCCGCCTCACTCCCAGATACAGACAGCTGGGCTCTTTGCGGAACGCTCCCAGTGTAAAGGGGTAACTGACTCCAGCTAGTTCACGCTCCTTGAATGTTGAGACATCGTAAAAAACATAATTCGGTCTCTGTTCCTGGTTCCTGACGTAGAGCTCCTAAAAGCCTTGTCATTTCCTGAGCTGCAGGGGTTCAAGGGGCATCTTTAGTTCTAATGTGGCGACTCTTGGTGGGCTTCTGGGTGGGGACTTGTCACCAGAAGGATCAAGCCATGATGAGAGGGTTGAGCTTTCAGCCCCGCCCTCCATCCTCCGGGGAGAAGGGGGCTGGAAATGAAGTTAATAATCGATCGTGCCTATGTGATGAAACCTCCATACAGATCCCTACGAGATGGGGCTCAGAACTTTTCGTTTTGGCAAACACAGCCACTTGCCAGGAGCGTGGTGCAGCCCAGCTTTGTGGGGACGGACACGCCTGTGCCCAGGGCCCTCCCAGACCTCCCCATGTGCTTCTTCACCTGGTCATTCACTTGTATCTTTTATCATATCCTGTAATAAAGTGGTCAGCATAAGTAAATGTTTCCCTGAGCTCTGTGAGCCATTATGACAAATTACCAAATCTGAGGGGGGCGCTTGTAGGAACCCTCCATTTGTAGCCAAGTCGGACAGAAGTTGTAGGCAACCTGCAGGCCCTCTGCTTGCAATTGGTGTCTAAAGTTGGGGTCAGGCTGTGGACTGAGCTCCGAACTGGGGGGCCTTGCACTCAACAGAGTAGGTAGAGTCCAAATTGAGTTAGATTGTAGAACATGCATTTGGTGTCAACAGAACTGGACAGTGGCTTGGTGTGGAAAACCTGCACTTCTCCCCACAAACCACACTTCATGAGCTAGGGCCATTCCAGCAAGCCTGCTTCTTTCACACCAACCAGCTAACAAGGAAAACGCTTCTTCCTATCCATCCTTGTATACTCCCAACGCTTCTGGCATGAGTCACAAGTGTACCTGCGCTACTAGGGCTGCATGGAGAGCCCATGTTTTCCCTACTGTTCCCTCTAAAACTTCTGGGAGACCATTTGTCACCTGGCCTTACCTGGAGCATAGGCAGCTCAGACCGTAAGCCCCCTCTTCTCATTCACCAGTAACACCTAAGGTAGCGCTCGGTGCTGCCAGTAGGATAGTGAATAGGCAGGCTCGGATGCGTGGATGCGCACATTTGCCCGTGAAGGTGTGTGCCACATACCTTGAGCTTAAGTTTGCAATCAGGGAGAGAGACTGACTTCTCTCCACTTAGCAGCTTCTGTATTTTAATGCAGATTGAATTCAAAGTAATAGCAATGTTCCCAGCTTACTAAACTGAGATTTTATGTGAGAGAGAACTTGGTCTCTGGAGGAGTGGGAGAGGGTGTAAGGCAGAGGGAAGCCCATACTAATTTGAGAATTACTCAAGTGAACACTCCTTTTTTTTTAACTTCAATTTTTCTACAGGGGTCGGCACCAGGAATTATTATAGAAAGATTGGCTACAGATTACAAGGCCCGTACATGGTGAAGATGCTGAAATAATGGCCACGCCAGTCCACCTTTCTGCAATACCCTCCCTGCAGAACATGGAGAATCAGGATTTCTTGACTACTCAACAGAGAGAGGCTGAGCAGAGCAAACAGGCCTAACTGTCCCCCTGTTGGGGGCTTCACCGTTATCCCACAGCTGCAGAGACTGGAAACTGCCTTCAGGGTTCTGGCTGGTCACCTGCTGACCACATCCCAGATCCACCCTCTCCTGCGTGTACCCAAAAAATCTCTTCCGTTTGTGAGGCTTAAATTATCCATCCAGTTTCTAAATTTTGCATGAGGCCTGCAGGTGGCCTGTTTTGACTCAGACGGTGACAAAAGCAAATCAATCAACTCATTTGGATGCGGTAACTCACAAAACAAAACTGATTGTCATTCGAGGAGCAAACTTAGGAGTAGGTTATTTATATACCCTAGGGACAGAGGAAAACCGCCAGACTGATCTGGGGCCTTTAACAACATAGGCATTGGAGCGCAAGTTAGGAAAATGAGCTTTTGTTTTCATGGAAATCATTCTGATTGCAGTGCGCGGATTAGAAATAGCAGTGTGACGGGGAAGGAGGAATTGCGGTTGTGGGGGTGTGAACCTGGCAGCAGCCGGCCCCAGCCTTCCCCGGGCGGGCAGGAGTCCACCACGAAGGCGGGGATGACAAAGAGCTCTGCTCGTGCTGTTTGTTGTCTCCACTTCCCACCCTCTTGGCAACTGCAGAGCAGCGTGGGCAGCCACAGGCATGGAGCCCAGAGAGTGCCTGGCTTTCCTGTTCATCTCTCCTGAGCCGGTGGATTCTGAGGTTTTGAGACCCTAAATCAAGATTTGCTTACACGGAAGCCATTCCCTGCATTTTAATTTTTTGAGACAGAGTCTCACTTTGTCCCCCAGACTGGAATGCAGTAGTGCAGTCTCGCCTCACTGCATCCTCCACCTCAGCCTCCTGAGTAGCTGGGATCACAGGCGCCCACCACCGCACCCAGCTAATTTGTGCATTTTTAGGAAAGATGGGGTTCTGCCATGTTAGGCTGGTCTCGAACTCCTGACCTCAGGTGATCCACCTGCCTCGGCCTCCCAAAACGATGGGAATACAGGATAAAGGCTATGCCTGGCCTTTAATTTCTTAAGGTAAATTTTGGTTGTTATAAATGGAAAAAGGTCAGAGTTGAAGTTCAACTCATGTGTGCAAGCAAAACAATGGAAAACAGGATTGGCTTCTTCAAAGGCTCCTCTTGTAGAACTGCCTCTTTGAAATTTCCAGGTAATCTACTTTGGAGACTCTGCCTGGAGAGGGTCAGTTCCTAAGTTAAGAGCATCGCTTAACCTTGGCTTCTGTGGCATTTTACAAAGGTTTAAAGGAATTGATTTCTCTGAAAGGGCCTGAAAATAAAACATCTTTAACATACAAAGAAGAGTCATGTGGGTTTTTTTTTTCTCTCCCTGTAAATGCAGTGACATTTGCCACGGATGTGCAGGTTTCAGTTTCCAACTGATGGCACTGTTCATTTCCTCCTGGGTGCTGTTTGCCATTTCATTAAACTGCCACGAGGCAAATGGCAGTGGCTTTGTGATGGGCGCACTGTGGAACTACCATGGCTTTCCATGAGTGTCGGTGAGGGATTTAGCTACTTCTCAATTATGCTTTATCCATAAAAATAACACTAATAAAGCGTACTCCCCTGGCTGGAGACAGAACCACCCGCGCGGCCCTGGAGCACACAGCCTCTGGGCTTTGACCTCCTCATCTGTCCTGGGTGCCCAAATGGACCAACCCACGAAGCGTACAAGAAGGGCTTTTGTGATGTGTTGAAAAGGCATGCACATGGAAAGTTCACTTCGAAAGATGACAGTTTAGGGAATTTAAAATGAAATGACAGGAACTTGCACCTTTCTGACGACTGTCAGCTAGTACTGAATCCCGATTCTATCTCAGGATTCACAGGAACGCCTCTTTCTAGCTCACCCTGGCCCTCCTTGCCATGAGGATCTTGTGGCCTGTGCCAAACAGCAACAGCTGGGGCGCTTCCCCCGGTGTCCACGCTCCTGCCACCCTCGGCCACCAGAAGCTTCTGCTTCTCCCGTGACTGCCAGGGCTTGTTCTGGCACCGATGGTGCTTGGCACCCGCACTGCCCGGGTGCTCTGGCTGCTCCGAGCCCTGGGGACCACCCATCCAAAGAATTATAAATCGTTCTATAAGGACACATGCACACGAATGTTCAGTGCAGCACTGTTTACAATAACAAAGACTTGGAACCAACCCAAATGCCCATTGATGATTGACTGGACAGGGAAAATGTGGCACATATACACCATGGAATACTATGCCACCATCAAAAACGATGAGTTCGTGTCCTCTGTAGTGACATGGATGAACCTGGAAACCATCATTCTCAGCAAACTGACCCAAGAACAGAAAATCAAACACTGCATATTCTCACTCACAGGCAGGTGTTGAACAATGAGAACACATGGACACAGGAAGGGGAGCATCACACAGGCCTGTCGGGAGGAGCTAGGGGAGGGCCAACGGTTTGGGGAGTTGCGGTGGGATAACATGGGGAAAAATGCCAGATATAGGTGATGGGGACGGAGGCAGCAAACCACATTGCCATGTATGTACCTATGCAACGATCCTGCATGCTCTTCACATATACCCCAAAACCTAAAACGCAATAAAATATATATAAAAAAGAAAGCTCAGTTGGGTGTGATCCCACCGACCTCAGTGTGAAAGCGGCCCAGCTACAGCCTGATCCCATCCAAATGGGACTCCTTAGCAACCGCCTCTAGCCCAGAAGCTCTGCTTTCAGCTCAACTTAACCAGCTAAATCACCTGAGGAGTTTTTTTTTTTCAATTCAAGTACTATCAAAAACAGTCATATATTTGAAGAGAAAATGAGTTTTTTAAAACACATTATCACCAAGTGAAAGGGCCTGGAGCTCATGCTTCCTCTCATTTGGAACAAGCAAACCCCTTTTCCATTTTCCATCTCTGCAAACCCAAAAGTACAGCAAAGACAACTCAGAAACCAAAGCCTTTTCTACTAACTCGTCTTTCAGGTTGCAAATTTCCTTGCCAATGGGGTTTTGGCTTTTTTGTTTTCAAGATTATCTCACTGAAAACAAAATTTTGCTCCTAAAGAACTCACAGACCCTGAGTTTACAAAAAACAAAAAGCACAAGATCCGGAATCTGAAAACCTGGCTTTCTCATTAACTATGAAGCTTTGAGCAAGACCCCGCCCCGTTTTGAGCTACAGTTTCCCTATTTGTAAACACACATCAGTCGGGGGCAAGTGTGAGAATGAGATGTGGCATTTGAGAGACACTGCATAAACCGGGACACATACTGATAGTTGTTGCTGCCTTTAATGAAGTGGCTTCTCTGCTGATGTGTGACCTTGGGCAAGTCAACTCTGCAAGTTTCTTCCTCTGTAAATGGGAGTGAGGACTGCAGAAGCCCGTGTGTGCGGGCGCTTAGAACAGGAAGCATACTAAAGACGCACCTGCTTTCATTACTAATCTCTAACAAGGGCAATCACTGGTCCATTTTTTCCTTCAATGAGGAAGCTTCTCTGCTGACAATAGAATTTCCGATTCTTTGCTAGAATCTAAGTTTTTCTAGAAGCACCTGTCAGAAGAATAGTATCTCTAATGCTCAAGACCCTATCTCCTCCTCCTCTGGTCTATTTTATTCACACCAGTCTAGGGTGTGAATTGTCAACTCCATTTCTTGAGGGCCAAGATCCTAGCTGAGATTGCGACAGCAAACAGCATTTTGAAATGCCGCTGTCGTGGGCGTGGCTTCCTGGAAAGTTGTCCAGTGTCCGCACACATTGCCGACCCCTGTGTGAGCTGGTGACTGTCCACTTAGGGAGTCTGGCAGCCGTTTGTGGCAGGGCTTGTGCAGGGGGAAGCTTTCTATATACTGGAGTTGTGTACACCAGCAACACGTTTGTTTCATTCTGTGAAGCCATTTCCAAAAATGATGTTTCAGGAAACGGACTGACTTTAATGTAGACAGATCCATGTCTGTCAAACAGCTGCCTGTCTGCTGCTTTTCTCTAGCCTGCCTTAATCGCCGCTACCCCGATACGCAGCTTGACTTCCTTTGTCTCTACACACCTAGCTCCCCTCTTGTCTACCTGGAAAATTTCTCATCATTCAAGGGAACAAAGGAACATTTGTTGAGCCTCTGCCAGGTCCTGGACTCCGCCTCAGGTTCTTCACCTTCTTCATCTTGGGACATCCCCCCAGCCCCTGCTGGTCAATAAGGTCCTCAAGATCAATCAAGTACTGTGGATAGTCTCCACTATTTCTTTTTCTTTTTTTTTTTTTTTAACAGGCTCTCACTCTCCTGCCCAGGATGGAGTGCAATGGCACAATCATGGCTCACTGCAGCCTCAAACTCCCAGGCTCAAGCACTCCTCCCACCTCAGTCTCCCAAGTAGCTGGAACTACAGGCATGCTCCACTACACCCAGCTAATTTTTTTTATTTTTTATAGAGGCGGGAGGGGTCTCACTATGTTGCCCAGGCTGGTCTCGAACTCCTGGGCTCAAGCGATTCTCCTGCCTCAGCCTCCCAAAGTTCTGGGATTACAGGCATGAGCCACAGTGTCTGACTTTGTCTCTACTACTTAACTAAGGAAGGCAGGCTGGTGTCTTCACCTCTGACCCTGGCATCGTAAAAAGCCACTGTGGCATGTAGGTACAGTCAGGGCCATTCCTCAAATATTTGGCGATCACGTAAATAGGACCTCAGAATGGCCCAGTGCAGCGGCTCTGGTCTCAGCTACTAAATGCTGAGGTGCGGGCTTCAAGCCTGAGTCAGTGACTCAGCCTTCACCACTCCACCCAGCCCCACTCCTCTTTGAGGGGAAAGCATTTCCAGTCAGCTTATGTTAGAGGACACTAGCAGGCCTGGGCACCAAGCCTGTGCCTTCAGATTTGAATTTCACCCTCATGGCGGCCTGTGCAAAAAGCCCTATTATCAGCATCCCAGCAGTTCCGACTGGCGGGAGTGGACGTGAATGATTTCCTCGAGAGACTGCAAAGTACAGGAAGAGCCTGCTCTTTTCATCTAAATGAAAATAGCACTTGGGGGCTCTAAAAATTATATACGCTCATTATAATGAATGGAAATGAGACAGAAAAGCACAGAATAACCTGAAATCCCACTGTCAGTGCCAGCCATGGTTAACACTGTGATGAATACCCTTCCAGCCGCCTCTCTCTGCACACACAGACACACAGACACACACACAGACACACACACAGACACACACACAGACACACACACACAGACACACACACAGACACACACACACACAGACACACAGACACACGATCTTCCTATGAAAGAGTCATATGGTGCGTGTTGCTTCTTTTTTACTCTACAAAACACAAAGCATCTTTCCATTTCAATACAGATCTACTTCACGGTGTTTTTTTTTCTTTTGAGACAAGGTCTCACTCTGTCACCCAGGCTAGAGTGCAGTGGTACTATCTTGGTTCACTGCACCCTCCAACTTTTGGGCTCATACAGTCCTCCTGCCTCAGCCTCCCAAGTAGGTGGGACTATAGGTGAGCACCACCACACCCAGCTAATTAATTTTTTTGTAGAGCCGAGATCTCCCTGTATTGCCCAGGCTGATCTCGAACCCCTGGGCTCAAGCTACTCCATCCTTTGCAGTGACTACCTAGTGGTCCCCGTCTGCAGGTGCACAGTTGATTTCAGCAGGGCTTCCGGATCTCCTATTCTCACCGCCACAATACCTACAATCAGGTGTGAAGCACAGATCTGCTGACACCATATTTCTGTCATTTCTTTTCTACAAGCACTCACTCCTCCATGGCTGGTGCTCTTCATGACTTGGCTGTCCTGCCGCCAAGTCTTTCAGTCCTTCACTCATAATGGGAAAGGCCTCTCTGCTGGCACATGGCCTTCCTCATCCAGAGAGCAGCAGCACATTTGATCATGAACAAATCTCATCACACAAAATGTCAAGCCACCTGCTCACTGAAAGGCACTGGAGCGTGACACCCTTTACTGAGGTGAGGCGACTGTGCCCTATCTTTTCTCCCCTGATGTAAGGGACTGCGTCAAGTCAGAGCCCTGCACCAGCGGCAGCTCTGCAGAGATGCTCATCCTCTTGACTACAAAGGTAGAAAATGTGAGCACCAGGGACATTTGACGGTACCTGCTGTCACCATCAGGGCAGGCAGCAGAGGGGCTCTCAGCACTTGCAGCCCCCAAGAAAGAACGGTGGGACGTTGAGATGCCTGGGTTCCAGGCTTGCTTCTGCCTCTGTCCAGCTCTGCAGGGACAGGGTCTGGGTCACCACACCTGACCCAGGCAACAAGCAAAGGATCATCTGCATCTTCCTTAAGGGAGGAAAGGACAGGAACATT